GGTTGATGGGATAGAGATCAAATATATAAGCAGTATATAAAGTAAGGAGCCAAATAGGGTGTGTCAGTCCAGCCTAGAGGATTATGTAAATGAAAATCCTATATGAATACACATGAATATAAAGGTGTGTGTCATTTACAGCAAACCTGACTTATAAAAATATGAATATCCAAAAAAAGTTGGGGGACCAGACTCCCTTAAAGTATTAAAAATGTGATTTGATTTGCCAAAATTCTACTTGCCCACACCTTTTCAGGAATACATCAATGCTAGGGAGTGAGCTTAACTTGTATTTATGTGTTCTTGACATTTGAATAGAGTGTTATAGTAGTGTTTGAGTGTATATCTTCAGAGAAACAAAGACTGCTTTTCAGTCATTCTTTTACTGATAAAAAGTAGTTATGACTTGTTTTAAAAAGAACATTTACTACGTTATATTGAACAGTATTATGTCATATTCTTATACATGTGGAGTTTTTCCGGGATACATCTTTTATATCAATCCAGCATTCTAATGCATCTCACAGCTATCTCAATTTTTGTATTTTAGTTAATGTGCCACTCTTGACAATGTGTGTATTACATATGTGTATAAAAGGTATATACGTACATATATATCACATACTGATATGCAAATATACTCATGTACCCATAGCCTTAAATATTTGGAGACTTCTCAGTAATTACCACAGCTGAATTGCATGCTCACTCAGTAGATTTAGTATGATGCCCAGAAGTCAAAGGACAAAATATTTTCAGAACATAGTGTATATTTTTTTCCCGAATTTATAGGATGCCACATTTGAACATGCATTTGCTTGTGAGATACCACAGCTATGCTTTAGGGTAACAAAACAGATAACTTTTCTCTGGGGTCCTTCTTGTTGAATGTTGAAATGTCAAATTGAACTTAATATGTGTTTTAGTAACTGTATTGTGCTCCTCTCCCCAAAAAAGACCCAACCTTGTACATAATACATCATCCTTACTATTCCATTCATGTACAGTAGGATCCATCCTTGTGTTTTGAAAGCTATAGTAAGCACTTGCTCTTTGGAATGTTGCTGTAGAATACACACAGTACAACTTTAGTTCCATTTCACAAAGGTCATCAGGAGGCCTGAGTTCTTGCCCTGGATTCTGTCATTGATTACTTTGTGACCATGCAGTGTCACTTCATCCCTCTGCAACTTGGTTCCCTCTTTTGTAAAATGAAGATAACACCACTTACCTTGCTTCCTAATAAGGCTGTTGTAAGGATCAACGACAAGAATGTGAGAATACTTTATAATAAAAGAAGTGCTCTTTAAACTGTGAGTATCTTTGTTGTATGAAGACTGAAAATATCCCATGTGTTTATTCTAGCACAATCTGGAAATATTTGTTAGTATATTTCAGTAAGAAATGTGGCAGTTAAAGAAACATGTAAGAGTAAAAACCAGAGAGGACTTGCCCATACCACCCTCCCCACCAAACAACACTTCTTTTTCCCTTCTTTTTCTTTTTTTTTTTGAAATAGTCTATACCTTGTGCCTATTCAGCCAGCATTCATGAGTACGTCAGTCATCCATGTGGATCAGATTGGTGACTTGGGAATGAATCTGTGTGATAGAATGCATTTAGTTAGTCCTTCAGGGTTATTCATCTCTTACTTCTTTAGATTTGGCACATTCTCCACCCTCTCTTCTGTATATGCCCTACTCTTAGATACAAAAGAATATATTGAAAAAATCTTATATTTTTTAAAGTCTACATAAAAAAATGTAGCAAGTAAAGACCCCAAAGTAGTTATGAGGCACATAAAAACTAAAAGAAAAAGGGAAGAGGCAGTATATAAAAGAGAGAATCTGGTTGAGACTAATGGATGCCCTATTCAGTGTGATTCCAGCTCTCTTTAAAATCAAGTAATATTTTCAATGCATCAAGCATTTAGAAATAACCAGCAATAGAAATTTCACTTCATTATTCTCAGTGTCAGAGGCAACATTGTGTAGGATATGAAGAAGGGAAGACTTTGGAAATGGAAAGATCCAAGTTCAAATCCTACTTCTACTGTACACATGGCAACTCCGTAAGATTGGATTGCCAAATCTAGGTGGGTGGATGGAGTTTCTGCATCAGGGAGTTATCTGTGCTGTTGTAATCATAGGGATAGACCAAATTTAAAAGCTCTCATTATTTCTTCCATTTTAGTGTTTGGCTTAAACATTATGAAAGGATTCTCTCATTTCATTGAGACTGTAATAAATTTAGTATTGAAATAACAGCATAACAATTGGTTTAAGGGGTTTGGAATATGATACTTCTCTCCTTTCCTGTCCTGAGTTGTGACATGAGTCATATTTTATTTAGATTTTAAAGAGGTGATCAGTTACTGAAAATGGGTAACTTTATTAAGAGTTAACATTTTAATGGTGTCATTAATTCCCATCTAGTGATTTTTTCTTTTGAAGGTAGGAGATTGAGAAAGAGATTTCTAAGTGACTACTAGTAAAAGTACCATGGCTATATGGCAGGAATTTCTAACCTGGTTTCTGAATTTTTTTTAATGTTTTGATAACTATTTTAATATAGGTGGTTTACTTTATAATTTTATTTTATGCACTTAAAAACCTTTTTAAAAAGGAATCCGTAGGCTTTACCAGATTTCAAAGCAGTCCACAACATTAAAAAGATTTTAAAAGTCTCTGCTTTATGGTATTCTGCCTTGTAATTGGTGTTCTGTAAAGCCTCTTGAATTTTTTTAGTGGAAAGTAATATAAAATTGAAAAATGTAATCTTTTTTTCAGGTATTACATAGCATAATATTTAAACACTTAACTATATGTGTTAAACCAAATTTAAGGAATATTTAATAATTTTAAAAAATAAACTTAATAGCTTTTAAAATTTCCTTATTTAAAGACATGAAATTTGGAGTCAATTGTACTGACTTCGAATCCCAACTCTACCATTTGTTGCCTCTCTGATTTTGGGCAAGTTGCATATTCTTTCTGGGCTCAGTTTCCTCATCTGTAAAATAAGAGAGTTGGACTTGATAATCTCTAATGTCACTTCCATTCTAAATCTGTAAGACTGGGTACAAACTTTTCAAGGGACGTTCAGTGTCCCTAGCTATGATCCTGACCAATGTCTTCATTCTTTTAAAATGATCCTGTTTCCTTAAGATTGTCATTTCCTTTAGCAAGGAAAATGTAGCTTTTACCATACCCCTGAAAAATACGAAGTTTGTGGATGGCCTATTTGTAGTACTATTAATATTTGTGAACACATTTACCGTAAACACAGATAATGTCAAAAATATTTTTCATCATTTGACCTGAAATTTTGCTTTTAAAGGTCCGTTTTATCTGTGACATTAAATAACTAAGATTTCTTGCATTACCAAATGCCAAATTTCAAGGAAAAATAAACCCATAGAGCAGGCAAGTATATAGAAGTCAAATAATGTCTACTTTTAACATACATTATTAAAATATGTTAAAGATTGCCTGATGTTTTATAAGAAATGGCATATTCCCTTCCTTTTCCATGTGCTTTAAACAAATAATATGATAGTATAAGCATGAGGATTTAAAAATGTGGATTATTAAAATAACTTTGCCCTAGTTATGGTGTTTCATTTTTTTTTTCTTTTGTAAAGAATACTTTTTCAGGTGGTACATAAAGAAAGGTTTCTTTTAATACTCACATTGAACTTAAATCTGTACCCAACATTTAGTGTGATGTTTATGACAATTAAATATGTACCTTTGAAAGTAAATTGACTAATGAGTTTTGTGTATATGAAACTAAAATTTACAAATATGAATTTAAAAATATAATCTGAGGCATATTCTTGAGGGATATTGTGCACACATGTATTATTACTAAAACTTATGCTTAATCTTTTTAGTTTTTTTTAGATTAAAAGAGCAATTCTAGCAGATTAGCATTTTTCATGGAGAAAGTATCAGAAAAGTGACTCAGCTCCTCTGTGCAAGAAATAAACATACATTTGAAAAGCATTTTTTAATTTTTTAGATGCATGATTTCATTCAGACATAAACTTGAAAAAAATTTTAAATTATTTCTATTACTCTTGATTTCTTGGAAATTATTTGTCTTATTCATCAACAAGAATTTCAAAAAAACACCATTTTAATAAAACCCAATGAATCTTAAGAGCTCATAAATTTTTTTAGGGTCAAAACTATATCACTATTATGGTTAATTGCATGTGTTTGTAACTGAATTACATTGCAAGAAGAAAAGATGATGATGATTTGGTATTTTTGATCTCCAAAAATGTCCAGGTTTTTTGTTTTCTTTGTTTGTGGTAATAAGGTTCTGAAACAACTGCTATTTAAGATTTTAGTGATAAGAGTTCTGCCAATACTTAAGCTCTCCATACCTGTAGGACTTCAACCTGTAAAAAACAAATTTGCTAATTTTGCAACTTACATGATTATCCAGTGTTATTGTGGCATGGTAGTTGGCTATTTTGTGTTACAGATTTTTACATGAAATCATTAAGTGTGACTAAATATCAGTATTTTGGCATATTACTACTATTGCTTATAGTCATTCATACAAGAAAAGAAGCTAGCATTGTTTTTATTTTTTTATTGTTACTGAACACAATATTCTAGGAATTTTCAGCAAATTATCAATTCAGCTGTAATTCAAGTTTTGTTTCACAAGAAGCTGTGAAATGTTCTTTGTTGCCTGCCATTAAAATTTAAATCAGTATCTTTAATGCCCTCTTGCAGTCTCATTTTGTTGCACTAGAAATCTGTTTTAGTTGATCTGCAAGTCTGTTTTGTGCTGAGTGCTTATGTTTTCCAATTCAGCTGCTTTGTAATTTTTCTGTAAGCAGTTTAAATCTTGTATTCTGTTAAAATAATTTTATCATCATAAAAGTGCAATAATGTACATGCATGTTAATCGTGCAAGTGCTCAAGACATTTTTTTATATTGCAATTCCAGTTGAAAACCACCTGAAGGAAAAAATAAACAAATAACAAAAACATTCAATATTTATTTACAGCATTTAGAAGATAGTTTGTTTCTGTTTCAGGTGCAGGATTCTGTCCAGCACAGATAACCCAGAGATGGATGTCATAGATAGAATTTACATACCATTAGCTCACAATAATTCATTAGCAGCAGAGCTCTGGGGTACAGAGCTAGCTAGGCATGTTATTTGTGATGTCTGGATGCTGTATTTTAACAAGGTTTACTGGCCTCATGCTTGTAGCCTTTGTCTAGTGACAGAAGTAATTACTTGATAAAATGAAGTGCATCGCTGTGAACAATTGACCCTTTGGAACAATCCAGACTGGTCAGCAATCTAAAGCCACATTTTAAAGCCATCATGATAGCTTCAAACTTCAGAGTTTCCAGGGTGCAGACAAAGGTATTGTCTTCCTTTAGCACAAGTCGTGTACCATTTTCAGACTTTATGAAGTATTTAAATTGAATAATATTTGAAGATATAGAAAATTCCTCCGGAAAGCCATCCAGCCGGCTCTTAGACACCAATACAATGCGAGATTTTATTTTTGTTATGAAATCAGGAGCATTACAAAAGATTCTCAAACCTTGTGAGCGATCGTGGTTATCAGTGATTTCCAAGAAAGTAGTCTCTCTGGCTGTTAGCTGTTCTTTCTCCCACCTGGATTTCACTTCTTCAGCCAGCCCTTTAAGCTGAAAGAATTCTGCCTCCTGGGCCAGGAGTTGATTTTCTCGAAATCCTTCTGGTAGTAGAAGTTCTCCATTCCGTAAGAAGTTCAGAACATGTCTAAAAAGGAGTCCATCCCTGTCTATGAAGTAGTGACCGTCAGCATCGAGGGGGCAAAGGATTTTTCCATTGACTACACCTTCAAGGAAAGTATCTGGATACTTGGCCAGTGTTTGTTTTTGAGTAATGTACAAATAGCCACCAACATTGAGAGTCGTCAGCGTTTTGCAGCTCTTTCCTTGATCAGGACCTTCAGGGCTGTTGTGTTTCCCCTCATAGTCTTTTTCTTTTTCTCTCCTGTTTATTTTACGTTCCATTTTCAAAATCGCTGCAGCTTCTTGTTCTTGGCTTAGAGAGAGCTTTTTAAAAAGCACCACCACCACACAAACACGCCTTTATTCAGCTCCAGCTCGGTGATGGAATGGAAATGCTGGCAACCTCACATGAGCTGTCAGCTCTGTTTTGCAGTAGGTGGCGTATCAGCTATGTATGCAGGAGGTTTCAGGAGTAAGGCTGAAAAAGAGAATTTGCATTTAACTGTATGAGGGCAGAGATTGGTTACAAAAGCATTTTCTTTGCAGGCATGAAAGTTAGATCACTCTGAATATTTTATGTGCTTACTACCAAATAGGTCACGTTTTCTTTTTAGTGATAGCAGTAAACATGAGATTTGCTTTTTGTATCTAAATGCCTTTTAAGTTACCAAACCAGTAGTGCTTCATCTTAATAAATCATTGAATCATTCAGAATTTTTAATATACTATCACTTTTGGAAACTAGGTTTTAAATTAATGTTATTTTTGGTTTTAGTATTTTGGATTTTAGGGATGGTATAAATAAGAAAATGGGAATAAAAATATGTGGATAGCTTTGTAATCTATAAGCTTTATACATGACATATATTGCATAGTGTCAGTCTTTTTTTTTTTCCAAGAAAATTGGGAGAGCTACGCCTGTTGTTTATTGTATAGTACTCAGTTTGTTTTGACATGACATTCCGATTGCAGTATCTTCAACAAGAGAGATGATTTCTTAGTATCTTTGGATGTAAAGGACTTTTTAAAATTTTTAAATTTTTAAGATAAAAATCAGAGAGGGAAGAGAGATTCAATAATCATTTATCCTTGATTCTGTTTAACCTGCCTATGGATTCTGTGTAATATTGAGGATAAACATTTGCTAAACAAAGACACAGAATGCTGTAGCTTGAATATAACATCACGCTGTATATAACCAGAATGATTATAGTGTGGAGGAGGGGGGGAGGGAAGAAAGCAAAGTGACAGCTAGGAGTGGCAAGTTGAAATAGCTTGGCGTGAGACAAGGATAGGGTACGTGATAAACTAGTTTTTTCTCCATAATGTAAATATTGGTAGAGCAGGAAAAATTGAAAGCACCTCTAACCCCTGTTTTTTCCCCTTCCAGAGAATGAATACCTGTTTGAGTCCTTTGAGGGGAAAAAAATGGAACTTTTTTTTTCTTTCCAGGGGCACAGTAAATATAATTTGCTTTCCAGGGTAGTGTAGTAAGCTAAGCCTTTTACCTAAGGATGAGTATTTTCTTGGATTTTTATGCCCAAGATTTCAAGTTTGTTTATTTGCAATCATTTATTTGACCTATTTGCTTAATTTGAGAAAATGAACTAGGTAGCTCTTAATGCAATAACCTTTATTTTATAATTTGTTTCTCTAGCAACATAAAATGTCTTCTATATATTATTAAACCAATCTGATGTAAATGTTTGAATATTTTTCCTGTGAAAGATTTGTCTAATACCATTTTATCATTAGTAATTGATACTGATAAAATAGAAAAAATTATTTTGTAATAATTGTGAAGTATCTGTAAATGTATTGTTTTCTTGTTATGAAGGAGGATTAAAAGAGTATTTTGCTTAGAAAGATCTTAAAGGATTTGTTATATCAATATTTTGTGATCAGTTTCACAGAAAATTATGTGGAAAGGATTAGTGAGAGATTATTTCAAGGATAAAATTTCAGCACAATTTAAATACACCCATAACTACTATGTTGTGGAAAACTTATTTTACAAAAATAAAATGACAGATGACAAGTACATATTCGAAGTTAACTTCAAGTCCAGTGTATGTTCAGATGGCTCTCCTAGTCTTTTACCCTCCATGTTAGTCATTATCACTAACTCATTCACTTTCTTAACTTAAATTTTTGTTGCTCTCTTTTCTTTTACCATCATCTTTATTTCCCAGTAATCCCTGCCCCCTCAAGCTGTCCTTCACCAGAGAATTTTAAAAAAGAGAGAAAAGCAGTTCCCCAAACTAAGCAACATAAACTCATCTACTTTTTGTAAAGACATTTATTTGCCTTGTGTTTCAAAAGTTATAATGTCTGTTTAAGAGAACAAAATAAAAGTAGCTCTTAGGAAGAAAAGCCTAGGCACTGTTGGACATTCATCTTAGGTAGTGTTCCTTCTGCAATGGCCATCAGCCCTTGTCCCAGAACAGTCTTGGAGGGTATAGTGGTTGACAAGAAGTAGGCTTTGCTTGTATGTATGTATGCATATATGCGTGTATGTGTGTAGACACACGTATATCTCAACATTTCATTTTGAATTCCCCTTTTGCTTCTTTGTGTTTCATTTTCTCCTCACCTTTTCCTTTTTCTGATCTGGAGACTTTCTTTGCAGTAGAGAGGTTGAGGGCATAGATGAGAACAGACTGTAACTACAGACCTGGGTTGCTCAACCATTTCAAAATAAGAATAGTTGGTGCTGTGGGTGCTGAGATGTCCTCCTCACTGTGTTCTGACATCCCCAAACTAGTTTGCATAACAAAGTAGACCAACTCCTTGTACTGCCTACTTTTCCCATCCTTAGGAACTGTTTCCATTCCATTTTTGTATAAGCCCTGCTTTTTGATATTCCTGTGATATGCTATATTCTTTTCTAAATAGAAACAAAAAGATACCCTGATAGAGGTATCTTACGAGTAGCATGGTATGATGGCTTAAAGACATTAGAACCACAACTTTGGTATTTGGAGTGAACTGAAGTCAGTTTTTCTTTGTTTCTTCATTTGTAAAAATGGCCTACATCCCGAAGTTAGTTGGAAGAATAATTCATAAATGCTGTTTATGAAAGCAGTTTTCTAAATTTATAGAGCTCCTTAATTTTTTTCCTTGTCTTCATTTGTTTCAATGTCATGGGCTAAAGTCTAATAAGTAGTTTTGCCTTCTCAAAAACTTCTTTTTGATTTGTTGCAGAAGGTATTCCTTTTCAACCCCTGACTGAAACCATTAGCTTGCAATGGTGGGTGCGTTGCAGTCATAATCTGGCTTTCTATTCTAGAAGCCTATTTGTTTTATTTTATAATATTTTATAATATTTTATTTATAATATTTGTTTTATTTTTTTGAAGCAGAATAATGATTTTTTCTTTTGTGGACTTGTTTTTTAAAATGTTTGAAAAGTGCTTGTGAATGCTTGGTAACCATTTGTTAATTCTTTATGAAGGTTTGGTGTATCAGCCAGAAAAATAGGCACACATGCATGATAGCTATCCATACCATCCAAAAGCTAAGTGATACTAATTTCACTCAACAGATCTATTTAGCTTTATGGGGACATCAAATATCATACAATAAAAAGACCATTTCTATAGCATATAGAGAGACTTCTGTTGTTGTTTTCAGGCATGTCCGTCTCTTTGTGACTCCATTTGGGGTTTTCTTGGCAAAGAGTACTTTGCAGTTTCCTTCTCTAGATTATTTTATAGGTAAGAAAAATGAAGCAAATGAAGTTAAGTGACTTGCCCAAGGTGTTACACATCTAGTAAGTATCTGAGGCCAGATTTGAACTCGAGAAAATGAGTCTTCCTGACTCCAGGCCCTGCACTTTATCTGCCGTACTACCTAGCTGCCCAAACATGTAGCAGAGATGGTAACAAATTCACTTGGAAAGACATTTTTTAGGCTTTGCTGTTTGCAGTAAGGGAAATACTCAGATTAAGGGACATCAAGGTGGTAGAGTGTATAGAGTGCCAGGCCTGGAGTCAAGAAGATATTTTCCTGAGTTCAAACCCAACCTCAGCCACTTACTGGCTCAGTTTTCTCAACTGATCTGGAGAAGGAAATAGCAAACCATTTCTAGTATGTTTGCCAAGAAAACCCCAAATAGGGTCACAGAGAGTTGGTCACGTCTGAAACAACTTAACAACAACAAATAAAAAGATTAAGGACTTGTGTAAAGAAAATGTTTTACAGAATGACTAGTGGTCATTATAGAAATAGTAGTACTTAAAGAATAAGTTCTGTTGGGCCCATGTTTATATCACTGAATTTGATTGCAATAGAAAACAATTTCAGTATGTTTAGCATGTTTTTCCTACAAGTTCTTTTTCATTGATTTGAGGTAATAGTGGTTTCTTCTGGAACTACAGGACTATTGACAAAGCTCATGACTGACAGAATTCAGTTCCCAGTATAAATTGAGATCAAAGTATTTCTCTGAGTGCTGTATAGTCCTTAAGTTGTCATTGTTGTTCATAGAGCAGGATGAAGAGAGGAGTATGTGTTAGGAGTTTCCTCACTGTATAAATTCTTCGCACTCACATATTGTATTTTGCTAACCATTTTTACTGTAAGCCTCTGGGCCAGCCCTGCCCAGAATTTGGTAGCTGTCTTGCTAGGGGATGGATAATGGTAATTAGACCTGGAATAACAAATTGTTACCCTTACTAAGCATTTCTTGAACTAAATGCCTTTTAATGTCCTGGCTTTCCCATACTTCTTGATTCAAGATTCTTCTCTCATCTCTAAATTCTGTTCATATGATCCTTTTACTTTTCTACTTGGTTCTCTTTCCACTCCTCACAGAAATTATTTAAAGCACCCCTTTTCTCTTTGAATCTCCTACACCACTCTTTCCCCCTCTCTTTCAGCTGATGACCTTAACTCCTACTTTACATTTTCCATGATCTCCCTCTTCTCTCCTCTGCTTTTCAAAACCTTCAGATATCATCCTCTATTATCACTGCCTTTACTTCAGTCCCTGATGAAGAGGTGGTCATTGTACCACAACCAGTCCCTCTGCGTGTACCTTCGGGCCCATCCCTTCCCATCTTTTCCAGCACCTAACCCTCACACTCAACTTCCCTCCCTCTCTCTAATTTTCAATCTCATATGCTCTGCTTCCATTCTGCCTACAAACAAAAAATTCTTCACCATCCTGGCAAAATTCCTACTTAGACCCTACCATTTCCTCAAGCCTCAAGCTATCACCTTATGTCTCTCTTCCTTTTCACAGCCAAAATCCTAGGGGGAAAAACTGTCATTTCTTGCCTCTCCTTCCTCTCCTCACTTCTCAGTTCCTTTGCATTTTCGCTTCTCATTTGAACATTCAATTGAGATAGCTCTCTCCAAAGTTACAGTGACCTCTTAATTGCCAAATCTGGTGACCTTTTCTAAATCCTCTTCCTTCACCTCTTCAGCATTTAAGATTCTTTAAGGGGAACCTGTGGCCTTCTAAGTCCTTGAGTGTGGCCTTTTGACTGAGTCCAAGTTTTACAGAACAAATCCTTTTATTAAGGGGATTTGTTCTGTGAAGTTTGGATTCAGCCAGAGGGCTGCACCTGAGGACCTAGAGGGCCGTATGTGGCCTCAAGGCCTCGGTTCCCATACTCTCCTTGGCTATCCTCCTCTTCCATGTTGGATGCTTGCTATCTTTTCTCTGAGTTTTCATGGCACTTGTCTCTTGCTTCTCTACTCCTCAATTTCTTGTGCTCTTTCAGCATTTATATCATATCTCCAAATGTGGATGTACCCCAGAGCTTTGTCCTAGGCCCTCTCCTCTTTACTCTCCACACTCTCTCCACCTGGCAGTCTTATCAGTTCTGATGAGTTAAATTATCCTTTCTTTTCAGATGTCTCCAAGATCAATATATTCAGCCTTGGTCTCTTTTCTGAGCTCACTGTATATCTCCAACTTCCTGCTGGATATTTCAGATTGGGTATCTCATAGGTATCTCTTTCTTACTGTCCAAAACAGAACTCAGTACCTTTTTCCCAAAACTCATTGCTCCTTCCCCACGTTCCTATAGGGTAACACTGTCGTCCTTCCAGTAACGTCACTCTTAGCCTTACCTCCTCACTCTCTCTCACCATACCTGGCCACTCAGTTGCCTAATCTTGTCATTTCCACTCCTCCATATCTTTCACATCCACTCCCTTCTCTCTATCTTCCCGTGGCCACCACCCTATCTCAGGCTATCCTCACCTATCTCCTAGATTATTGCAGTAGCCTCCCCTTCAGTCTTCTTGCCTTTCATCTTTCTCTTCAGTATGTTCTCCATGTAGTTGCCTAAAGTGTAAACCTGACTGTGCCACTCTTCTAGTTGGTAAACTCTGGTGCTTCTCTGTTGCTTCTAGAATAAATAAAAACTCCTTGGTTTGTTATTTGAAGTTCACCTGCCTTTCCACCTTTATTATATTTTACTCCCTTTCCTCCAGTCTACATTTCTGACAAATTAGCTTTTTGACTGTTCCATCTCCTGCCTCTGTGCCTTTGCCCAGGCTATTCCCCCATTCCTGGAAGGCACCCTCTCGCCTCTGCTTCTGAGAATCCCTTGCTTCCTTTAGTATTTAGCTCAGTTATGCCCTGCTACTTAATGCCTTCCTTATCTCCCAGCTTTTGCTCATAGATGTTTTCAAGTCATTGTCTTCTAAGTTTGTGCCTTGAACTTCCCTGTCACCATAGAACCTTTTAGTGGTCAGGTTCTGTTTTTGTTGTTGCTCATTTTCCAGCCCATTTCTTGACTTTGAACTTTATGTTAGAGTGGGGCTCCACTCACCTCTGGGGGCTGGGGGGAGCTTCTGTCTTTTATATCCTGCTGCTTTCACAGCTTGGTCTGGGGTCTGTAAGTTTTTGGTGCTTCCAAAGTGGTGTGATCTGGGAAGAGGAATGATGTCTACCATCCTGGTCTGTGCTCTGGTCCTCACCCAGGTAGGGCTCCTGCACTCCTCTTCATCTTGGAGCTGTGATCCGGAACTGGGTAATGGGAGAAGGAGCTGTCAAATGCATCCAATCCTAAGCCCAGAGACAGCGTAGAGGTCCCCTGGGATCTCTTGTTGACCACATGTTAAGTCCCCTTACGGGCCCAGGCACCGCTCCTCACTGCTCTGCTGCCATAGTGCGCAGCTGGTGCGGCTTCCTCTGCACAGGGCTCTTGGCCAACCCCAACCCCAGCCTCCACAAACCTTGCTTTGTCTTTCAAAGTTGCCCTGAGCTAGAAAAATGACTTACTGTGAGTTTTTATTAGTTTTCCTGTTCAGAATTTGGTTTGGCAGTTTTCTCTGTTCATTTTGTAGAAGAGGTTTTGGGAGAGGTTTAGCAGTTGTGACCTTTAACCTCATCATCTTGCCTCCGCCCCTTTGTATTTATTTTATAGATACTTTTGTGTACCTATTGACTCCCATAATAGCACATCAATCCCTTGATAGCAGGAATTGGTTTTTTTGTCTTTGTGTCGTTAGTATCTCACACAGTACCTGCTGTGTAGTTGGTGTACTGGATATAGTTGGTATCCTGGAAACTACTCCCTCCCTCCCCGC